TAAATCTTGAATTTTTCTTTATTGACTTGCTTGTTATTATGCAAAACTTTATTTGCTTGCTTATGCTAATTCCCTTTATTCTCTTTGTATTTTTTCTTCTTTTTTCATTTATAATCTTTATTATGGTGTTAATTAACTAAAATCTATTGATTAGACAGTATCAATAGTATTATCATATGGATTTGTAGTGTTTTATTAAGTAGTTTCTTCTTATTTGATCATTTTTCCAATTTAATTATGTGTATTTGTTCTTTTTATGGGGGCTTGATATTGAACTTTACCTTACATTGCAACAAATTATTGCATAGTATTTCTGATAAGAGGGAAGTTAAATATTTCAGAAGTGTGTGGTCTTTAATCAGCATTTTTTATTAGGAGTTTATTAATTAGATCTGCTAATTCTTTAGAGTAATGTGAAGGAATAGCAGAAGCTTATTCTTTTACAATCCTATTAACTAAACCTAAAAGATTATTAGATTTGAAGGCATGAGACAAATTACACAATTCATAGAGAACACATCCAAGAGACCAAACATCACTTTTATAAGTATAGGGTTTATTCTCACAAACTTCAGGACTAAGTATAAAAATAAATGATTTACCTCATATAATAGGGAGTTCCTACAACAGTATTAGCTTAATCTTAAGTGTGTTCTAAAACTCTAGAGATACCGAAATCACCAATTTTAACAAATCCATTAGAGGATAAGAAAATATTCTAACTTTTGATGTCTCGATGTAAGATTTTCTATTCATGGATATATTTCAAAGCTAAAGAGCATTAAAGAAACCAGTTCAATATTATTTGTTCTGGAAAATACTCCTTTCTTTGACTCATTCTATTGATGTGAAATGATAGGTCTCCCTCTAATGAATTAATGTAAAATACTACCTTCACAATATTCCATGACAATGATTAGTGTATCATTCTCATTAAAACTCTCTATATATTGTACAATGTGTGGATGTTTCAGTTTCTACAAAAGCATTACCTAACAATTAAATGAACTTATAAACTTCTCGTTTTGAATCATCTTGCTCTTTTGATTTTAGATTGAATAATTGAATTTTCTTAGCCACATATACTTACTAGTCTGATTTTGAACGTACCAAATGAGCAGACCCTGAATATAATCATTACTTTACCATAGCTGCCTCTTCCTATTGTCTCATACTCCACATATTTATCCAAATATTTACTCATATGTAAAATATATTTATTACTAATGGAAGAATTGTTAAATATATATATATGATTATAATTTCCATCAAAATAGACTCTTTATATAAATATCTCAACATATTAAATCTCATATTTCAAATTATACAATTCTGCAGCATTTTTTAATCAATATCAATTTCAAAATGGCTAAAAAATTATATCACTATCAATAGTCATTATCTATCATATTCAAATAATAAGTTAACTCTTTTACATACACAAGATCCAAATAAACTATAAAATCTAAATAATTTTCAAATATATTCATATTCTATCCTTTTTCAAAAGATTAGAACATCTTTTGATAACATTTGAGATAATACTGAAAAACAAGTAACTTGTAATTTCTTTATGACATTGGAATAGAATTTTTGAATTTCATTTTAATTAGTGAAAGTTTATCTATTTCTTGATACTTTAACATTTATTATACTAAATAAATTATATTAACCAAAATAAATAGTATTTTTATACTATTTACTTAGAATAAAACTTTTCATCATCTCATAATCTTAATTTTAGACAATTTTGAAATATGAATTTATTGAAATCTCCTACCTTTAACTTACTAAATAGATCTAGTAAATATCTTTTATTATATTATTTCAAAGTAAATAATATACTCTTTATTATTCTTTATAAAAGTAAATTGATTATATAAAAAATAATAATTAAAATAAGATTTAATTCAATTTTAATAAATATTGTTATTCATGATTATAGATAACCCATACTATCCCATAGATTTTCATCATCTTTATAATTCATTAAAGGATAATTGCAATTTGGTTCAGTTTAAGGAAAAACCAAATCAATTGTGATTCGAAATGCATCATTAACCATTCTTGCAAATAATTAATCTAATAATTTGCTTGTTACTTCTAAACTTGGATTTGTATTTACTTCTATCAACCAAGGAGTATATTATTCATCAATAATGAAATCCATTCCAAATATTTCAAAACAATTTTTTCGTTTTTACTTATTTATTTTATGTTTCACTGTTTAAAATGCTGTATAAGATATCGTTTTAATTTTCCCTAAAATCTAAATTTAAATTAATCTTACATCTTTTCTAAAATCTTTTTTAAATATATTTTGAGCTTAATCAAAACTATATTAATTTCCTTCTTCAGATTTCCCATATTCAGGATGAGTATATTATATGGCATTATTTGTGAGATGTACATAATTAGATTGTACTTTTGTATCAAACTTCTCTGTTGCCAATCTCAATTAACCTTCTCTATAAAAATATATCTATAAATTTGATGTTAATAAAATGTAGGCTCTTATATCAAATTTTCTATCATTTATTAATAATGGTTTCTCTATATATTTTTAGATTACAAATTATTCTGTCACTAATGTATTTAAATAAACCACCTTATTGATTATTTCATTCTATTCATTTCTTTTCACTTCCAACAATTTCTCCTTATATCCCCCTTAATATTTGCTTTAAATATCTAATACCTCCTATAAGCTTCTTACTACATGAATACCTCTTCCTTAATTCATATTTGAAGGCTTAAAGATCCATAAATTTTCATTGCCAAATAATGTTGGATAATGATTTACTTTGTTATCATATAGTGTTGTATATGAAAAGAAATACTATTTAATAGTTTTATCCAATTCAGGTAATTTATGTTAAGGACAATTTTATCTGTAAAAGGAAATAAACTAAAATAATTCAGATTTTAAGTTTTCATTAGTGCATTCTATGACAAAGGTAGTTGGTATGTAATCATATATATTTAATCTATTTTTCTTTATTAAATATTATAGATACATCGCAATATGCTTTGAAATTCACAGCTAACTTAAACTTATCAGAAATTTCTGAATGAAACTCAAAATGATTAAGCATCTAAATTGGTTGTTCTTTTTAATTAATAGTTTAATATTCATATCCCTTTTCTGTTTCTTGCCATTTAAAATTAATTTTCTTAGATTTTGGATCCTTTACCTAAACCCAGTTCTATCTTTCATCTAATAGTTTCTTAATGAGTTGATGATTATTGCCTTCTCCTATAAAATAAAAATATTTTGAATATTGTGTTTTTGGAGCTGAAACTGAAACACTTCTTTAATGAAATTCCTTTCTTTTCAAAATTGGAGGTAGGCTCTTTTGCATTTATTTTTATTTCTCTTGATTAGCAATGAAACGTTGCTTAGCTTATTCAATTTATGTTTAAGATAATAATTTTGTATCAATTATCTTCTTTGTGTCCTTTTTAATGGTTTGATGAGTCTAACAATTATTAATTAAAATAATTACACATTTACTGATTCTTTGACCATAGGAGGACTAGATAATTTTCAAGTTATTAAGAGTTGGAAGAGCATACTTTTTTGGTGAGTTCATTCACTATAGGATTTTATTTATTTATATTCTAGAAGTTTAAATTAACATGATTTTATATATATTCTTATCAACTAAGTGAAAATCATATACTATCATATAGTAAATTAATATAATGAGATTAAGTCTAATAAGTGCAATGTTTTCTTCATCCAATTCATAAGTATTAACTACAAAAGTAGGATCAGCACTTAATATAAAACTAAATAGACCAAGTCAATTGAATGCTCTTAATTTACCTATGATTGCAGAACTAAATTAAATCTTAGATCAAACAAATTAGACATCTTGCATCATTTTAAGTGGAGAAGGAGGTAAAGCATTTTGTGCTGGTGGTGACATTAAGACATTATATTTTGCAAAAACATAACCTTCTGAATAAAATCCACCAAGTGCCTTAAAATAGTTCTTTTTTGATGAATACAAATTAGATTATAGATTAGCAACACTCAAACCAGTATTAGTGGCTTTAATGGATGGAATAGTAATGGGAGGAGGAGTAGGAATGTCAATTCATGCACCTGTTAGAATAGCAACTGAAAAAAGTGTATTTGCAATGCCAGAAGCAAAATTAGGATTATTTACAGATGTAGGAGGAGGATACTTTCTTTCTAGATTACCACATAGATTAGGTTATTATTTAGGTTTAAGCGGATTCAGATTAAAGGGTGCTGACTTAGTTCATGCAGGTTTGGCTGATTTTTATGTATAATCATCAGAATTGTAAAATTTAATTTCCAAAATCGGAACTATTTAAAGCTAAAATCTCAATGAAGTTAAAAACATTGTCAAACAATTCTAACCAAATTAAGTATTAAGAATTTTCATATTCTTATTAGATACCAGAATTTACTATCAAACAATAATTATAAAACATAGAACCAGGATATTCAGGAGAGAGTTTAGAATAGATATTTAATAATCTATAAAATCATCAAAATTAAAAGTTTGGACAAGATAATTTAAAGATTTTAAAAGATTAATGTCCACTCTCTTTGAGAATTATATTTGAATAAATTAAAAGAGGTTAAAAACTTGATCTTAAAGAGAATTTAAAGATGGATTATAGAATTGTGAGAAGGTAAATTAAATATACATATATATCAATAGAATTATGTAAGGAACTGACTTCTTTGAGGGAGTGAAATAAGTATTAGTAGACAAAAATCATGTCCCAAATTGGTCATTTAAAGATGCATTGACTATTCCTCAATCTGAAGTTGACAAATATTTTAAAGTTCTTGAAAATGAAGAAGAGCTTGATATTTGAAATTTATTATAATATCATCTATAAAATATTGAATATTTTATGCAAAATATAGAGAATTCTATTTTTAGAATATTGTAGATAGATTTATATAAATTTTAAATTATTAGGTGGTTGAATAAATTATTAAAATATCTTAATTAATGAGTCTTAGTATATTTAGTATTAAGACAAGTTATTATAAAAATGGGCTTTGGTGGTTTACTAAGATTCCTGCTCGTATACTAGGTGAAGAACGATGGGATGCTATCAGATTGACAAGAAGAATTTATTAGAATAAGTTCTATTATGGAAGATAATAAATTTTGTTTGATATCTTTTATGATTGGCCAGCTATGGCTAACTTAATTGGTATCTATCCTAAAGTATTTTGATCATACAATTATAAAGGTTGATACTTCACATGGATTTCTTCATTGGGCCACTTATGAAGCCTATAGAGATTGGCAAGAACATACTGTGAATTCAGATGTATAATTGATCACTATTATTATAGGGTGCCTTTGCTATGTGGATCTATATGTTATGTGGTGTATACATTGCTCACTGTTTCTACTCTTATATGATTCCCTATTATTGGACGTAAGCTGATTTATCATAATCATAGAAATATGTTCCCAGCTAAGAATGAAGAATTTGTGAGATTGAGAATGAAAGATGCTATTGCAACTACTGTTTTAGAAGAACTATTTGCTAACAATTATGCAGAATTTGCATGGGCTCCTCATGATTTTCATTATAATAGATAAAGATGTATGTCTGGATATGGCCATCCTGATGATCCAAGAACCATGCACATGGCTTCATTCAATAGTAACATATATTGAGAATATTTTTAGGAAAACACAAATACAAAGAACATTATTTGAATAGAATAGGAGATTCAAGTCGTATGACAACTGTCCTTTGAAATAATAATACATCATCATATATATGCACAATCAATCCTTTTTTTATGAAAATCTTTGAAAGAAGATAAAAGAGGCTCTGCTTTAAGAAGTCATTTAACAATTTTAAAATCTTTTATATATTAAAATTAGAATAAAAACACCTGGTGTTAAAATGATATTGGATAAATACTTTTGATCAACTCAATGACTTGATACTTAAGTTATTCAATCAATTATAAGCAAAATGGTACTAAATTTATGTCAGAATCTCTTCAATAAACTTGCCTCTATGATTCATGATAGAGTCATTAAATTAATAATGTAAGTTAAGATTTGAGTCAAATCAATGAAGAAATAGTGTTAAAAAAGGATTTATGTTGATAAAAAAAATTGTTGTAAAATTGTTGACTCTTTTTATACAATTTTATTTGTAATTCGTTTTAATTAAAAACATTATTTTTGTGAAACCAATAGATTCAAACATGATAAACACTCATATTACTAATTTTTAAGGATACTACATTCAAACATAATTGATACTTGATAATAATTTGTGAAATCAGTATCCTTATTTTAGGGTATTTTTTATCGAAAATATCTTAATATTTACTCAACTCTTAATAATGATCATTTTATAATACACAATTAGTGCTGAAATTAAATCTTTTAAATGAGTTTAAGTATATTCAGTGCTAAAACAAGTTATTATAAGAATGGCATCTGGTGGTTTACCAAAATGGCTGCAAGAGTCGTTGGAGAAGAAAGATGGGATGCCTTAAGAATGGCAAGAAGAGTATACGGAAACAAATTTTACTATGGAAGACAACAAGTTTTATTTGATGTCTTTTATGATTGGCCTGCTTTGGCCAATATGATTGGTATATATCCAAAAGTATTGATTGATATGTGATGTTAAGGTTGATACATCACATGGATTCCTTCATTGGGCAACTTATGAAGCATATAGAGATTGGTAAGAACATACCTTAAATTCAGATGTATAATTGATTACTAATATTATAGGGTGCCTTTGCTATGTGGGTTTATTTAATTTGTGGTGTATACATTGCGCATTTCACTTATTCATATATGATACCCTATTATTGGACGTAAGAGATTATAAATAAGAAATAGAAACCTTTTCCCAGTCAAGAATGAGGAATTCGTTAGATTAAGAATGAAAGATGCTATAGCCTCAACAGTCTAGGAAGAATTATTCGGTAATTAATTTGCAGAATTCGGTTGGGCTCCTCATGATTTTCATTATAATAGACATAGATGTATGGCTGGTTACAGTCATCCAGATGACCCTCGTACTATGCACATGGGCAGTTTCAATAGTATTTACTTCTTTTTTTAAGTTGATAGGAAAACATAAATATAAGGAGCATTACATGAAAAAAGTTGGAGAGTAAAGCAGAATGGCAGGACTCTGATCAGATTATATATATAAATACAAACATCATTATTACCTTTAGAAATATGAATTTCTTAAATTCACATTTTTGGTGATAGCAAAAATTCATTACTAATTCAAATTTACAACCTCATTCGTTTTGATTCAAAATTTTATATATATTATAATGAATTTGCCTCAATTTTAAGATCTAATTGAGATAAAATATTATTTTTAAATATACTATTATATCGACTTTAAAACAGAAAGTACATTCAATGTAAATCTGAATTTAAGATTAGTAGATGATTCTAATTTTTATATAGAACGAAATCTTAATTTTTGCTCATTATTTTTATCAATATAAAGATAATTTTGATGATCCAGGAGGTATTCTAGATGTTTTAATATTTCTAAAATCTTCTGATGTTTGTGACATTAAATTTCTTGAAGTAAAGAAATTAGGAGATTTTGTAGATTATTTTTCTTATGGAGATTCTAAAGTTGGTTTTCTATTGGCTTCACTATCAAAATCAGTATCCAAATTTGCTTATAGATTGTCTAAAGTTTATTTAATTTTTTATTTAAATCTATCAGTTCTTTAAGATTCTAATTAATTTTTCCTATTCTTTTAAAGTATTACATCCAATTATTAATTATTTTCAAATAACTTTGTCCATATTCTATTATTAATATTCTTTAATTAATCAGGAATATTAATATTCATATATTCATAAAATTGATTTACTTTTTAATCTGAATAGCGAGGTAAATTTAATTATTCTTATTTATTTGGTATCATTTTTTTAAATTTATTTTCACTTTAATAATTATATTTGTATTTGCGTTGAGGTTAAACAGTAATTAAAAAAGCAGAATTTTTTTGTCTTAATTCTTCTTCAGCCATCATCTATCCAGTTTAAATAGCTCTATCTTTAATTTACTTTAATTAATTCTTAAATTTATTTAATCTATCTTCAGAAGATTTCTTTATTTTTAATTTTCTTTCAATCTCCACCTTCTAAACAACATCAATTTTATTACTCAATTCAATTAATTATTTTAGATTATTGATTTATTCATATATATTAACTGATTTTGAAGTCAACTTATCTTTAATTTCATCTCTAGTATTCAAATAAGTTAGTAAACTAATAACTCCCTAAAAAGATTTAGGAAGAGCAGGTATTGGATTTTGATTTTAGTTATTATTCTAATTGTTCAATTCATTCATTTCATTTAAAGCTGCATTAATTTCATCTTCTGTCAATTAAGTTCTTTCTATCAATTATTTCATTATCTTGGCAAATATATCTCTTGCAGCAGAGTCTAAATAACATGCTTTAAATTCTTAGAGATTTAAAGAGAAATCTTTATTTTGGTCAACAACTTTAAAAAAATCTAACAATTCTTTCTTAGTAATGAATATCCCATATCTATAATGATCATTCATAATTACTTAGTGAACATTCTAAATACTTCAATAAAATCTAGTGCTTTGGAACCATCATTGTCAAACTTCTCAAAAAGTAGGGTCAGCTCAATGTGTTTACGCTGATGGTTCATTTAAATTAATATACTCTTTCTTCAGGAAGATAGCGATACATTTCTTTGGCCTTAGGATCTGCTTTATTTTAATGTTTATTTATCCATTTCATCATTGAATTAGTGTGCATCTAACCTCTCTTTTAGCATTTCAAAAATTCTTTTTCTAATTCTTCTCTTCTCTTTCGATCTTGATCTTCCTTTAAAGAATTCGATATTTTTTCTAACTATTCTCTTCTTCTCTATTGGGACATTAATTTATTAATATAATCATAATTTTCAAGTTTAATACCATAAATGATACCAAAAATCTTTTAAATCATTATGATATGATTTATTATTTAATCTAAAGTCTTCTACTCATAATAAAACATAAGGTTATCATTAATTATGTACTTTTTCTGTTAATAAAAAATGATAGATTGATGAGAAATTACAGTATTATTCTAAAAATATGATAGTTTTATAAAATATAATAATTAATGGTTAATTTTGAAAGATAAGATATTGAAGTTAATGTAAATTTGTAGTTGTAAGTTATGAGGATTTGTTTAAATTAGGAAAGTAGAAGAATTAGAAAATGAAGTATAATTATAATTATTAATTATCAAAATATATAAATATGAAAAATTATATAAAAAGAAATATTATTGTATTAAATGGTTTGATTTTCAATTTTTTATGGTTGTTTGAGTGAGGATATAGTTATATATATATTATATATGATATTTCTTTGGTTCGCAATTTTTAGTATTGTATTTGAGAGAAGAAATGATGTAAAAATTCTTAGATATGAATGTGAGAAATTATAAGAAGAATTAGTAGAAAATAATGATGTATGAAGAATTAGGTTTAATTTAATTGATGGATTAAGGGATAGAGATTGTTTTATAGTTTTAAGATGATGATAGTTTAGAAAAAAATAATGATGATCGGATTATTAATAAAATAAATAAAAAAATTTATCAATTGAAGTTGTGAATTCCTTTTAATATATTCTGTTTTTGAGTGGAGTTGTAAGCATCTGTTGACTGGTGAATTGATTATTTTAAGTTTTGGTTAAAATATTTCCATATATTAAATCTTTATTTTAATGAGGCAGGTCGATCCAAATATGCCACTTTAGAAATGTGAAGTTTGGGAGATAGAAAGTTAGAAGGTAAGAAATGGCTGAATTTTTGTTAGGATAAACAATGTAAACAGATAGAAATACCTAAATTTGTGATTGTGGAAGGTTTACCTCAACTAACTCATAAAATTCCTCCTACATATATTCATACAAATATTGTATATCCAGATGAAAATGAATATTCATGTGACGAAGAAGATTAAGCAATTGGAGTAGATCCACTTGCTATCTAATAACTAGACATTAGGAATAACCTATCTAACACTCGGAACTACGTTCGCCAATATGAATTGCTGAATTCCATTAATTACCCTCCAGAATATTATAATGCTAAGGTTGAACGTCTTCAACGACCTCTATTAAGAGTGTTCATGAGAGCTTAGGAGAATGAGTAAAAAAATCATTTTTATATTCATCACTAGTTACCGAATGAATATGGCTTTTCGTCCAAGTAGAGCCTACAAATAAAAAAGGTTAAAACGACTTAATATATAACTTCCTGAATTTTAAGTAGGTAGACAAATCATATACAATGAGAATCTAGTTGCTCTTCATCTGATTTCTTAAATTAAGTAGCGTGAACTATTAAAATTAAAACTAATTAAATAAGATGAAGAAGAATTTACAAGTACATTTAACAATTGCTCAGAAATATTCAATACACTTAAAGATTTAAGAGTAGCTCTAAAAGAAGAAGAACCTTAAGATAATAAGGATCATAAATCTAAGATTTTTGATTCATGTTAAGATCCAGAATGTGCTTATTAATTCAATACTACTTTAATATCTTAAACAGTGATTGAATTTATGGATGATTAATATTAATCTATTAAAGATAAGTAAATTCTCTGGCCTAAACATCCAACTATATTATCAGATTGGAATCTCGACAATTATTCAAAAATTGGAGTTTATTAATTCAATAAACAATTAGTTTATTCAACATTTGACAGAACTCTCTTTATTTAAGATAGAACCAAAAAAAATAAAAAGAAGGTTAAATTAATGTTAGTAGATAGAAATAGAGCTTCAGTATTTGATGGAGTTAGAGCAGATTATGAACATTTCTATTCACATTATTAGAGACAAATGAATAAAATTGAAACTTCAATTGAATAATAAAGGAAAGAAATCTAAAAATTAAAATAAGAATAATCAAAAAAAGAATTGATGTTGAAAATGTAATAAAAAAGAGAAGAATAAAGGAAATTACTTAAAATAAGATTGAAATTAAATTATGTAGAAGAACCAAAAATAGTTAAGACTGTAAAAATAAAACATTCTGATGAATTGAAGTTTTTATTAGTCAAACATGATTCAACTTCTATTTAATTAAAATAGGAGAATTGTTAAATCATTTTACAATGAGATTTTCAAAACAATGAAAGCTTTTTTATAATTTTTGTGCTTTTATATGTAGGAATATATTACTTATATTTCTTTTTGTTTTTTAATTTAAAATAAAGATTTAAAATATTTTTCATTATGGCAGAGGTCGAATAATTATCAGAAGAACTCACTACTTTAAAAAGAGTTGTCTAAACTTCTTTACATAGAGGATAATTATCAAAGGGTGTACATGAAGTTTGCAAAGCAATTGAAAGCAAATAAGTTGATTATTGATATATATTGGAATAGGCTAAGTTTGTTGTATTGGCTGATGATTGTTCAGAAGAGACATACAAAAAATTAGTTGTTGCTTTAGCTAAGCAATTCTAAATTCCAGTTTGGAGAGTTGAGAAAGGTGCTTTATTAGGAGAATGGATTGGAATTTCAAAGTTTTTGACAAAAACAAAGAAAATTAAATCAAGAAAATGTTCATCTTTGGCAGTTAAAGATTTCGCAATTGAAGTAAGTGAAGCTGAAAAACAATTCATTGAAGATAAAATTAAAGGATTGTGAGAGTATTTTATCCGTACAACATATAAAACAAAGTATATTAATGTATATTTATCATAATCTCTAGAATCAAAAAATTATTAGCAAAGTCATTAAATTTTTAATTATTTAATTTTTTATTATATGTCTAAACATAGAAGAACCAAATCAAGTGGAAATTATTTCTAAATTAATCATGAATTTTTAGTTAAAGATGATGATTTTGAATATAATGAAACTAAATTCATTATACAGAAAATACAATAAATGGCTACTTAAACTTAATAAATTGTAGAAAAACTTGATGTAAATACATAAGGAATGTATAATAACTTATTTAACTTTGGTAAATAACATTCCAAAGAAAAAGCTGATTTGAATTTAAGTTAAATTTCAGAGTGTAGTTGTAAAACATACTATTTTTTATCATAAAAGCAACTCATTCAGCTGAATATCCTAGTCTTAAATTACGTAATTAAACCATTTAATCCCCTATTCGTATGAATACTTAAAATAGTTAAAGTTTACAATAGACTATATAATACTTAGAGTAAGAAATCGAATAAATGAAAATGAAATAGGATGAATTGCATACAGTTAATATGTTTTTATTATAAGAAACTTAAAAAAATCGTTAAGAGTTATTAAGAAGTTAAAAAGTAAGATTAAATTATAAATAGAAAAATGAAGAAAGGATTAAATAACTTATTTAAAAGATTGATAAAGAGTAATCTAATACAAATGGGTATTTTTATAATTTATTTTTAACAGTAGTACTTCAGATGGTCTAGATTGATTACATTTTTCTATATATATATTTATTTTTAGTTCAAACATTTAAATTTAATAATCTATTTGTTCTATACTAAATTAAATGAATTTAAAAGAATAAACACCAAACATATCAAAATTATTTAAGATTTCTCAATAATTATTATCAGATTATAAAAATTTTCAGCAAAAATGTCAATAGAATTATTATCATCGACAAATTGACATTAACTTTCTATAATGATAAAATTAGTCCCCCAATAATAAAGATTCTAAACTTGAAGTATATTCCTAATATATATATAGAGCAACATCCAGATATTATACTTAAATTTATCAATAAATGAGTTATAGTAAAAGGTTGCTATCTTTATACACCACTATGTAATACAACTCCAAAAAACATAGAATCAAATATTTATAGATATATGTTTTTAATTTAAGATATTCCGCCAGCTTAGATATAAAATTCATTTATACCATATAAAATTATCAAAAGAATATGTTCATAGATAATTTAGTATTAAATATGATGTTATTCTTAAGTTTAATGCTTAATCACTTAATTATCCAATTATTCATTAGAAGTAATTTCAGCTTATATAATTTCTCCAATCTATTTATCAAAATCCCCAATTTTAAATGGAATAGATCTTATAATTCTGTTTTAATTTCTTTAATATTCACTATTATCTTCATATTTAATTGAAATTTATTGAGCACCATTTCCTTTTTTCTGATTATCTAATTAAGATATTAATTTAGAAGTTTAATTTGAATCAACTACTCTGCCTTTTTCTAATAAAACTGTATTTTTTAATGTAATTCCTAATTAAGCTAAATGACTCTTATCAGCTCTTTATAAGATTGCATACTAACTTTCTCTGGTGACATGATCATATATTTGAACTGCTTCTAATTAAGATTCTATTGCTTCAACTGAAAAAGTTGGTAATTTTGCTTTTTAACTCTGCATGATATTTTATTATATAGAAGGAAGTTCTAATTTTTTTTCAGAATCAAACTTTTTTATTAATTCTCTTAACCAAATAAATAGAAATAAACCTATAAGTATCCAATAGTTTTCAATCAAAAACGTGCAAAAAATAAACAATTTCACAGAATCATATATTATGTTTGGGCATTCTTAGGATTAAAATGATAATCCAAAGAGTGAGGAGACTATTAAAATGAAAAGTTAGATAGCCAACATATACAATGTTATTGTGTGTAAAATATTTATTTATTTTGGAATAATAATTTCAGAATAAAACTCCTTTCTCTTAAATATTGAGTGGTCTTGCTGAATTTGGATTTGTATATCTGCGAATAAAGTCTTATAATATCAATTCAGAGTCTTTGAAATCAGTTGCTGCATGATCATTAGCTTATCTATGGACTCTGCATAAAGTCTCTTTGTAATCTTCATACCACCAAACAAATCTCTTGATATCTATATTAAAATCATAAATGCATACTTACCTTCATGTTCCAAAAGAAATTCATTCTCTTTTACTAATTCTTATGCTCTTAATTGAACATATTCATCAAACAAATTAACTTTTGTTAATTCAGATTTATATTCAAAATATATTTTACCAAAAATAACACATTAAACAACAGGGAATAAATATCTAAAAGTTCTGAATCTGATATTTTGTGTTATTACATTATAATTATATGCATATAGGAACTATGATAAATCTTAAAAATAATATTTACTAAATTGATTCCAAAAGCAACAGCTTAATACCCAAATTTATTATACTCTATAACTGGATAAGTCATATCATCTTCCCATTCGGCTAAAATAGATATTCAAATTTGTATATTTACGATCTTGAGAACTCAAACAAAAGGCATTGAATGGTATTTTTGGCTAAGTCCAACCAGCTGTCTCAATTAATTCAACCATTTTCTTAATTGATCTATATCTCTTCAAACGAGCTTCTCTATTATATTTAAAATTAATACTAACCTAAATGGAGGTAGATTCTAATTTCTAAGTCCCAATAAACTTATGATTGTGAAATAATTATCCATTTAATTAAATATTGAATTTGAATAATTAAATAAATAAAATAAAATAAAACTATATCATACTTCATCACTCATTATTAAACAATTCACACTGTTTTATTATTATTCAACTTCACTTATTTATTCTATTACTTCTTAATTTTCAATATATTTCTACAATCTATATATTGTTAATAATTCAGGATTAATTTATTTAATTAATCTACTTATAATTTGATTTTAATAATGATTTTCTGGATATAAGTTTTTGGTTGATTCTATTTTTTCATAAACTTATAATACCTATTCATAATTATAAACAATATCATCAATTAGATTTTATTTATTTTGAATATATTAATTATATTATCTATAAAGAGAATTATTTGAAGTTCTTCTATTTTTCATTTTCAAACTTATTATTGGTTTAGAAGTGAAATTAAAGATAGTTAATTAATCCTTAGTAAGTAATATTTATTTAAGTTTATCTATTTCAGTTAATTTTTCAAAGAGATACTTTGAATCTGATAACATATTAATCTTTTTCAAAGCTTCTTCTAATAATTTAGAATCATTACATTAAAACAATTTACCAAATGTTATTTGATTAATGAGAAATTTAAAATTTAATATTAATGGTGAATATCTATTTAATATTCCTATAATTGATTTTTTAAAATAATCTTTAGAACTTGTATATCCAAATTTCTATACCCATTTAGTATTATTCTTTTCAAAATTAAATTGCTTTGAAATAATCCTATTTCTCTAATCAATTTGTATCTTTCTTTCTGATGAAGTTTGAAATTCAAATTAAGATCTCAATACATTAAAAAATAGTTTATTAACTTATTTTCCAGAATATGTGAAATCTACTTAAGATTTTTATAATTATCTCTAACTTTCAGGAGACTTTTCAATTCTTGATTATTCTTTCTATTATTCAATAACATTATTGATTTCTTTTAATTATTTAATCTATTCTATTTTTACTTCAGAGTTCTTTTCAAATTAAAATATTTAATTTGCCAAATCTAATGACACTATTATATATAATTTATATTTACTTTATAATTTATTATATTATACTATTAAAGACCCTATTACTAAGGATAAAGCTTATAATAAACCTCCAATTTATGAAAGTAAATTATGTAATTTTAGACAAGATCTCTTGATTGTAACAGTGAATAAATCTTATTTTACATCTATATATCCATATACTTCATCATCTTCTCTTCCTAAATCAACTATTTCTATTTTATCTGCAGAAGATATTAAATTGATTTCTGATTTAACATTTTATCTAATTATAATTTATGATTTACTAAAAAGGCATAACACTTTCATCATTTATTAAATTATGCTTTTTCAAAAGTAAGGTTGTTGATCTTAATAATTTTTAAGGTATAAAACTTATTGTAACTGAATCATCTAGGAATTTTTGAATATAATCTTAACCTGAATTATATGGGTTCAGTATCTAAGATTAAGATATTTAATAACATAATTGACAAAATACAGTTGTAATGTGAATTATCGATTCTTCTGTATAAATTTATTGATTTCATCCTCTGATGCACATCTTAATTCTGAATTTGTAAAATTTTAGCATTTTTTTATATTAATTCTCAAAAATTCCAATCGATCTTTTTTAAATTACATAAATACCTGAACCCGACTAATGAAAATTTAATGTTTGATTATTTCTACATATGAATAAATGAAATACTTGAGACACAAAAGGGATCCAAAGTATTTTTATGCAAACATTTAAGTCAAATTGATGGCTTAGTTTTCTTAAAGTTTTAATAGTTTTTCATTTGAACATTTTTCTAATTCAATATTACTAATCTACTCAATATTATTGTCATACAACCTTAAAATAACAATTATACTTACCTCTATTCAATCACAATTTCAAAATATTGTAAATCTACATTGTCTATTTATTTTAGACCAATGGCTAGCATAAAATTATCAGAATCTAATTGGATAATCGGTGAATCCAAATTGTGTTCAGAAAAAATAGATACTTATAAAGAGGATTTCCAAAAAAAATTCATAATTGTATTCCATGAACTCATAATTACTATAGCGATCACTAATACTGAAGTTATGCCACCACAAGCAGTAGTATAATTTCGTTTTCCATTTACATTAATAGTGAAACTTTGGCCAAATATATCTATACCAAGTAAGACTTATTATACATCTTTATTATATACATCTATTAACCGCATTATTAATGCTGATCACCATATTTTTAATATATTAGATTTATTTTAAGTATGCAACAAAACTATAATTATCTAGCTAGGATTAGTAAATTATTAGAAATCTTACATGAGCTTAGATTTTTCAAAAGAGATATTAAACTTTTATATAAAATTAAACACAACTACTCATGGCAAAAAAATAATTTCATAATATGTTCTCTCTAAGAAATTATGGAATATCGAATTTAGATAACAACTATATATAAAGTCAAATAAATTAATAAATATATATTAAAATATAGCTAAGTCTGAAATATTAATAATAATAATTATTAAAATAGGGTGATGCTTAATTCTATTCATGAATTGTTTAAAAATTCAATAAATAAATAGATTTATACAAATATTAATGAAAATTAATTGTATAATCACATATTATATAAATTATTAGTCTTCATAAAGAAATAATCTAAATTTTTTGAAATGCCAAATTAAGAATATATATTCTTTTAAAAATTCTTTTGAATACATCTATAATAAATGATATAAAAAATTACAAAAATCTTTAAGTCTTAATCTGACTTTACAAAGAAATTAGAATAGTGCAGTTTAACTAAGGATAATTTTGTTTTTAGACAAGAGGACATAGATTTAATCCTATAATACATGATTGATGAAAAATTTATCAAAGAATTCTTTGATGTCTACATTTCTTAAGAAATGCAAACATATACAATTAAAATGAAAATGCTCATTATCATTCATTAAATAATAAATTTAAGTGAGGAGTTCTCATCAATATTCAATACAATACGTTTTCATAATTTTAATAAACTAAAGCATTGCAATAGAAATAATGAAGCTTGGTTACTTTAATCAATATAAATACCATTTTTGCAATATTTACAAAAATTGTCAATAAATATAAAAGACATTAAAAGTTATAGAACATGTTTGTTTAGAAAATAAATTCTAAATACAAAGTATTAAATCCTTAACTTCATAGTTTGGTAATCGATAGTTTTAAATTAATAAATATCGTGAATCAAGCTTTGTCATTAGTACCAAATTTAAAAATTGCTTTAACAAATTATCCTTATGATTTTTTATTAAAAAGGACTGCCTATAATATTTATTTAGAGATTCATACATTCCAAAGATAATTAATAAATTCATTATCTGCATTACTCAATGAAAATTCATAAGCAAAAGAAGTTGAGATATATGAATTTCTAAAAGAAGTATATATTTGCAGTACTTATATCAGGTTTAAGCAATTGAATAAAAAATGATGTTCTTTTATTAATTTCATAAAAAATTTGATCCAAGTTAAACATTAATACCTCCATTGAAATTAAAAATAGATGTAGAGAGTGCTAGATGTATAGAAAGGTCTGCAATTTAGGAAAGAGAAGTGTGTCAATAATTAAGATAAGCAAAAACTAAAAGAGAAATTTGTAGTTCTTCTCCAATTATAGATTATTAACTAAGTTGTGAAAGGGGGAAAAAAGGACCATAATATTAACATCTTGTATTATAAATGAACACTTAAGGAAATTAAGCAATAGTTTGGGATTAATAATAAACATTTTAAGAAGGAGTAGATACTCACACTGATGAGAAAGCAATAAAAGAAGAATAAAACAGTGAATACATAAAAAAATGATTTATAATATAATTTATCAATTTGAACTCATTTAAATGGAAGGTAAACTATCTTGAGAGCATGGAATAATAGAATTAAGTTTTGATTTTGATATTTTAGTAGATGAAATTATTTTTTTTGAAGATAGATTATTTCTCAATTAAATTAACCATATCTTTTTTTAAGCTTTTTTGAATTTAGTTACTAAATTTAAACCTTCATTTGATTATTATAATCTTTTAAGCTTTAAAAATTTGGTTATAAATAAAAATGGATAATATAAATATTTTTAGAATTTACTTAAAATTTCAGATTACCATTAATGTAAATTTTTATTAACTGCATCAATTATATGATTAACATTACTTAAAGGATAATAAAAATCATAATTTTAAACAGTTTCAAAATCTTCTATAGTTATAGCATTCTATTACCAATAAATATATTATAAAGAATTGAGACCCTATTTTACAGATATATCTTTATCATCTTATGTTCTAAGTAATTTATTATAAAGACAACGTATATTATCTTTCATATTTTAACTAAAGAATTGATCTTTTTTAAATTATTCATTTTCATGTATTAGAATAGTAGTTTCATGAGGTTCTTCAGTTATTTCATTCATTTAGAATAGTATAGAATGTGTTCTTGTATTCTTCCTTTAAAGTTATTTAGATGGTTATGAAGTTCTTCTCTAAATACGAGTATATTATGTAGATAAGAGATTGGATTTAGTTAGATCTTCTTTTAATTTAATTTTTTCTTCTTCAAATTCTAATTTAGGAAGAGTTTTTATTTAAGTAGATTTGTGATTGTTTGCAAACATATCATTAATTTATAAAATATTTACTGAAGGTAATGCATCATAAACATTATGTGTTTCTGAATTACCTTAAAATGATTCTGTATCTGCTTCATATATTAATTATAATTTAGATTATTCATTCAATAGATTTTAATTTTCTGTTGAAAAATATAATGCACATTCTTAAACATAAGTTAATTCAGCTCTTGTTTGAATAGGTTTATCAAAAGTTTTTCTCTTATATTTTTATCTTATTTATTCTTGATTAATAATATGTTTTTTTACAATGACTTCTTAATTTAATTTAAGTTAAACTTAACCACAATTTTTTAATTGATGATCAAAATTATTACATGCTGGACAAAAGTTAGCATATTATATTAATAATTCTTAATTTGATAATGAATATGTATCTTTAAGTTAACAATATTTTTAGAAATCATTAGGAAAATCTTTAAGTGTATCTAAAAAGTCCATTTTAGAAAGCATCAATAAACTAACATAACTCTATGCTTTAAATAATTCATATTCTGGATTTTACATTATAAATTCTTTTACACAAAAAAATTAACCTTATTATATTTAAGCATTCATTTTTGATCTTTATTTTCTATCTTTATGTTGATATAAAATTACACCTTATTCAACATAACAAAGATGTTAATGTCCATTAATTTCTGTTGAAAATATATTTTAAGGTTGAATAATTTTACGTTTGATTGATTTAAAAAGAGCATTTCTAAATTCAGCTGAAAAATATTTTTATAACAATTCAGATTTCTTAATAAATACTTTATTTGCTTATTTCTCCAATTCTTCTTTTAATTCATCTGATAATTATTCTAATAATAATTATTCCATTTCCAAATCTACTTCATCATCTTCTTTCCATCTATATGTCAAATATTCTTAAACTCTAATTACATTATATATATATATTTATTTACTAATGTTAAAGACTAAAAGGAATCTATCTTTATGTCATATATTTATTGATAACTCTTAATTTTTAACTTCTTTCTACTTAATTTTAAGTAATATCATTCATTATTGCACCTATAAAATTTACACTATAAGAAAACCATAAACCTATATTATATTTGATTTTTATATATACAAGCACCAAGAATAAAAATTATAGCTACTATCTTTTCTATAGAATTCTTAGGTACATTGTCTCCATATCCTATTGTAAGCATAGTCACAATAGCAAAATAAATAGATTCCAAATATTATAATTACCATGTTTAATGATCTAATTCTTTATTCACTATCCAAGAATTAGATTAATCTATACTACTAAACCAAAACCAAATACAACTAAATAAGTGTAAAATATATAATAAACTAGTTAAAAACTTTATTAATCCAATTATACCTCTTTATGGTCTAGTAAAATAAGATATTTAATCTATTTTAGATACAGCCTCAAATATATGCTTATATTGAGTTAATAAAATAAGAAGAAATAAATCATAACCATCTTATACATAAGGATTAGTAATAAAGACAATAATCAAAATAATAACTGAGAAATCAGTGAACCATGATTTGTTTAATTATCTAATTATAATTTCCCATCTATCTGTTATTGCCTTTCCATTTTCATAACATAATGTATTTATTCTTACAAATAAATCTAATTATAAAACTAAAAATATTGTTATTGTTAATCCTATATAATGTTAAAAGAGAATTTAAGTTGTAAATGATATTTCTAAAGGTATTAAAATTACTAAGATTAATCTAAAAAGAGATGCAAATATATCCCAATATAATTTGAAATTACTTTCTGGTTGTATTAATGGAATTTTATTTGCAATCAATGTAATTTATTTAATAACATTTTATTTATTTTCTTATAAGAATGTTTTTACTTTATCCCAACTATTTTCTTTTATTTCTATTTTAGTTGTTACTATTCTATTTAATTAATTGATTGTCAATCCTTTTTATACTTTTGTTTATTTATATTCTTATAAAATAGCTCTATTAAATATCATTTTAATTCATATACTTATCAGATGCCTTATCATCTATAAGATTAAGATGAGTATCATTTAAATTTTCTAATTTTTTTCTCTAAAAAGTAAGCTTTTCCAAAAAACGTCTTATAAAAAAGAACTGCATTATACTAGACCCTGTATTCTTTTATTTCTCTTGGTTTTTACTACTAGGAGTTAGAAGATGAATTTATTAAGCATCAGAAGTTGGTAGATTATTTAAATTAAGATGAGTTGCATTTTTAGGTGTTCTAAAATCATATGCATCATTGCTTTTTTCACTTTTGGTTTGACTTTGGATTTGATTATTAGTAATCGATAGTTATCTTCTAGTATCTCTTAAACAATGTTCTAAATATTCTTATTCAAAATCTTCATTTTGAACTGCTCTTAATTCAAGATCTAAATCAAAATTCTAATTATGTTGTTGTTCAATTTTTTACATTTAATATATAATAAATCTTAAATTGAATAAAACCTGTAAACTAATTACATTCAATATCAATCATAGATAAATTGATTATCATTTTAATATATAATCTAGTGGTTTAGTACACTATTAGACTTTCATTCAAAAATATATATCTGATATAATTTCTATACTTATTATAATCATAATCTTTCTATTGAGGATATTTAGTATTATATATTTAAAATTACTATGTCTTTCTATATTATTATATATATTAATCAAAATATTCATAATAAATGTATAAACTATATTTGAACATCGATAGATAAATAAGGAAATACATATTTTCATAAGCACTCAAACATAATAATAGTAATTATAAGTAGATTACTTAATAGGGAGAATGAAACTTAAAATTGAGATTAAAGATTTTTATGAATTAAAAAATGAACTTTTTATTATGAAATATACAAAACAAAAGAAAATTTATTGCACTTAAGTTCAAATAATTAATAAATCAAATAATTTACTTAATTCAAGATTATAGTATTTCATTATTGATCAAATAAACATTATCACATTAAATTGATTAAAAATAAAGATTTTGTAGTTTTTATAATTGAGGAATGTAAATTAGTTATTGAAAAAGGCTTTTAATTACTTGAATTGTTATTAATAACAATTCTATCAATAAAATAATTGTGGATTGAGTTTATTACTATTTAAATAGTTATAAAGATTTTTTTTAAATTGTTCATGATAATCCTATAAAAAAGAGGATTATTACATACTGACAGACTTAATATTGCTTAGTGAAGAGAGTGAATAAAATTATAATAAGTTTTGATGCATTTACAAATATCTACACATCAGTAATTATACATTATATTTAAAATAGAATATACTTAGATATATTAAGGAAATTAAAAGATATAATATATATTATAAGATAATTCTAATTGAAAAATATAAAGAAAATGTATTTACTACAAAAAAATTATTAATAAATAAATAGATGCCTTCTTTTAAATGAAATAATTTATAATTCTAAATTATTTTGATTTTATTTAAGTGTAATTATAATCATACTCATTTATTATTCCTTATTTTTCCAAATATCATATCAAAATGATATTAAAAAATTTAGTATTTTTAAATTACTACTCAGTTAATTATATTAAATAAGTATTTTCTAAAAAACCTAAATTAATGAAAATTCATCCATTTAAACAAAAGGAAGATTTGGAGACATTGCATACTTGGAGTAGTTAGAGACAACTTACAGAGATGGGATCTTAGGTAGGTTTAACTTATGCTAATAGTGGGTTTTAATAACCAATTAATAATAGTAAGAGGAAATATAGAGCTAAAACAGTAAAAAATTTGTAACAATTTCAAACTTATATAAAAGTATACAAATGTCCTCAACAACTACTATCTCTCCCACTAATTCTTAAAGGATAGATAAAAAACAATAATTTTCTAAGTTAATCAGAAAGATTATTAATGCTCAGCACTTTATCGAGGAACTAAGAAATTATGCTGATTAGCTAAGAAGTTAAAATGTACGTTATGCTTACAAAAGAAGAAGTTTTTTACCTTTATTTCCAGATGATATACCATATATAATATGGGGATTAATTATAAATTTATGTACTGATGTTGCAGCAATTTTGTTTCCTTTGTAGATTGCATTTGATTTTGAAGTACAATTTTTAAAGTATAATAGAGGGAGTGGGTAGTCAATTGACTTTGATAATTTAAATAATATTTTGGTTGGATCTAATTATGAATTTTTTTATTTGTCATGTAAATAAATAATTAGATTTGATTTACAATTTTTAAGATATTGCATATCATTATTTAAGTAGTTGGTTTATATTTGATTTAATTTCAGTATTACCTGATTTTGATATAGTTGGACTCAAAATATTAAAACTTATAAGATTATTAAGATTTTTTCTATTTGAAAGAAGAGTCGCATATAATCAATCCCTTGATTTATTAAAGTAACAAAAAGCAATTAAAGATGAATTGGTTGTGAGGAATGAATATAATTTTGATTTAAGATTAAGGAAATTAATTAAAATATTTTTAGAAATGATTGTGCTTAATCATTTATTTGCATGTTTATGGTTATGGATTTGTAGATTTAATAATGATACTAATTGGTTATCATACTATAAACTTAATGAAAAAGATTAATTAACACAATTTATTTATGCATTTTATTGGGCTTATTAAACTATAACAGTTATAGGTTATGGGGATGTAGAAGCTCATAATTCTGATGAATATTTGCTTGTAATAATTTGGATGCTAATAGGAGTTGGATATTATTCATTTACTATTGGAAATATTACTTTTATTTTGATACAATCAAATCCAAATTAAGAATTTGATGATTAACTTTTTAATTTGGAAGACATAAGTGTAAATATGCCAGAATAAATATAAGAAGATTTATTTAAATTTACAAAATATAATATATAATATAATCCTTTTTGGGCTGATGATGCTAAACGAATACTTTTTGAATTACCACATCCATTAATTTTATATATGATGGCATCTGTCCATAAAGATATATTTAGAACCATTCCTTTTATCTCTAATGACATAAACTTTTCTGCTGCTATTCTACCTTATTGTACTTTAGGTTATTACAAACAATTTGAAACCATATATTATATAGGATAAAATGCTAATGATTTCTATTTTCTAATCTAAGGAGATGTAAGATTATGTGATGCCAGTGGTGAATCTATTATAAGAGTAATGGAAGGAACATGCTTTGGTGAAATTGAATCTATTGAATATACTTAAAGATGTTGGAGTGCATTAGCATTACAAGATAGCATTGTTTTAATATGTTCTGCTCATTTCTTTTCATAATATTTACAAAATGAATCACCTTAATTCTTTGAATTACAATAAATGTATAAGAGAAGAAAAATAATATTATTTCAATAAGCAAAGTTCAAGCGATGTAAATTTTCATTTATAATAAGAAAAACTAAACAAAATTAGAAGAGGACATGCTGTTAATGAAGCTTAAAAATTAAACAGAAAAAATACATTAGCTTTATAATTGGACAATTTAAAATAAAAATTTGATAATCGTCCATATTAAAGTGTTTAATAAGATTTAATGCTATAAGTTGTGGGTTAAAAATAAGCTAGATTTAAAATTATACGTGAAAAGTTTGTTAATGTAATTTTTAATTCTTGTATATTAGGCTATATCTAAAGTTAGATATTATGTCTAAAAAGCATAGAAATTAAAAAATATATCTGTTGATGATCCAGATTATCGAATCATTAATAGTCTCATAAATAGTAGGGTTGTTAATAGTACTTGGAGTAAATAAATATCAAAAAAGTTTGGCAGAAAACTATTAAGTAATTTTGTCAAAGTTTGTGATGATGAAGAAAATATTAGATCTTTCATATTGAAAAGCAAATAGGAATCTATTGATAGAATTATGAGAAAGAAATTGATTCATATAATTAGAAATATTACAAAATAACAGAAGAAAGAAAAAATTGATTAAAATAAGATTGATTTATTTTATGGGAAATTTCATTAATAAATTTATGAAGAAATCAAAAATGAAAAATTAGAAGAAAGAAAAAAGTAAAAATAGAAACTTGAAAGTATTAAGTAAGAAAACAAAATAAGAACACAAATTTAAGCATTGAATTCCAATTTTAAGTAATTGGAAAAATTACATACATCACTTTCTATGGCTATTTTCGAAATCAATTAACATGAATTTGAAATAGATGGTCTTATATCAGAAGTTAAATAATAATTGTTATTAGTTTAAATTTGATTGAAAATACTTTATATATGCTAAATTTTATATTAATTGAATTTATAATTATTATAAAATATAATAAGATAATAATTAAAAGAAGAGGATACATTATCAAATATAGAAATCATTTACACTCTTTATTTAACACCAAATTTCTTAATATACTTGTCTATGTTTCGTTTTTTAATCAGCAAAACTTTCCTTCAAAACAATTGAATTATCAGTTGCTTAATAAAAAATATTAACTTTATTTTTTGGAATAATCAAATGTAACCATTGATTATCTTGATAATGTACTCGAATCCTAATAAAAATATTAATATAATTTATACCCTTAAGTTTAATTTTCATATTTATAAATTGAAGGACAAAAGAGAGAGTCAACTTATTGTTGATGATAATTAAGTGGAGCCAATGCTTTACCATTGTTATTTTTAGCTCTTTCTTTATTAAAATTAATCAATCCATTAACTAGACTGTCTTCACTATGTAAAATAGCTCTATATGTAGTATCAAAAAATTTATAATTATATTCTGAATTGTATTCCATAATTTCAGTCATACCTCTAATTCTACTTTATGAAACATGATCAAATAATTCAAATTAATCATCACTTGCATTTAGATTTCGAATTTAGTGTCCTAATTGTTCATTTAATTTAATAGTATTTAATTTTTATGTTTAAGGATTAAAATCAATTGTAATAAATCCTATAATTGCAATAATAAATAAAAATGAAAGTCCTAATTTTCCAAGACTTTTGTTTTTAGATACTGAAATAGGATTATCATCATCATATCCAAAATGTTTACTACCACAATTTAAACATGTTAAAAAAGTGTATTATTATTATAATTGTTAATTAATTTTATGAACTTCTTCTAATTATTATTATAAATGAATGACTTATTCATGCATTTCAGATAATTAAGTTGATTATTTAACAAAGTCTTCTTCTAATTTTTGTAAATATGCTTTCTTTCTATCTCTAGAATTCTAAGCTGATATTCTATTTCTAATCATTTGCATAGCTTTTTTATCATTAATTTAAGAAAATTCTTATTTTTCATCTTAAGACACTTTTCCTGTCTTTTTATTTTTTTTTTCTTTTTTGATATTCTTATGAACCTTTGAACAAACTTATTCTTGATTATCTACTTGAGAGTTTGATGATTATGAACCAGTAGAACCTGAAAGCAAGGCAGGTAAAA